AATAAATGAATAACTACAAAAAATATTTTTAGATTTATATACATATGCGTTCATTTTTTTATTTTTCAAATGAATGATTCCTTTAACACTCCTATTTTTTCCATTTTACTACACCATCGTATGCTGAATGTGGTCCACAAGAGAACCACTCGCATCTTCTAAATTTCACTTGTATTGTGCCTTTAGTCTCCGAGTAAAACTACTGTGAATGGAGATTGGTCGATAAACGGACTTGAATTAGAACGTTTTTGCCATTGAGCTACAAAACCTTTTAAATTAGATGAGATATATTTTCCTCCTTTCTACATTACTCGCAGTATGCATTGGCTATATTTCGTCGCCAATGATTAAGTAAGGCACAGTGAGATAGGAATGTCACAGCTCAATAGTAGGTATATTATCTACTTGAAAGAACAAACTATATTTTTTTTAAATACACTACGATAGTAAAATTTTATATTATACTAGCAATTACATTTTAACGTATAGTATAGATTTCTCAGAGATGTGATATTTTCCAGCAGTAAAAGGTATCCTATATTATGTTGCCCCAAATAACCAGCTATGATCATACTAAATTTCATTAAAATCTGTCCAGTGGTTTTCTCATGATGCGTTCTCAGACAAATAGACAAAACATCTAATAACTACCTACATATTCGGCCTCTTTCTTGCCCTGCAGCCTGGGTCTTGAATAAGGCTGCGGTAACTCCTGCCTGTCGTAAGAGGCGACTAAACGGAGTCTCGGCGGGAAAGGCAAACCTCAGCAGATATGCTACTGGTGTTGGCGGACCCGGCGAAATAAAAGGCAAGGTGGATGGCCATGAGGGCGGCGGTAGTTAGCATAGCTGCTATCGTCGGCCAGACACATCATCCAAACCCTTCTCTAGTCGTAGCGGTCTTCCGTTCCATTAGATCAAGAAGGGGAAGGACGAGTGTGTGCACCTGCGTCTGCGCGTACGCTTGTGCACCTAAATATCTCCTGCGCATTTGACCGTTTCCGAATACTGGACTCCGAGGACAAAAAGTCCTATGGCGATAGGACAAGGTAGAGAGGTCTGGTCTGATGCAAACCGGACTTTGTCTGAGTCCTGCACATAGGCGGCCCCAGGGGTGTTGTATTACATCGTGGTCGCTTTTGCACTGCAATTAGGAATGACAGTGTGAATTCGGCAGCACCTGGGATGACAAAGCAGCCCTATTTAGGGAGACACTGCTTTCCTCGCTTAGCCGAGGAGGGGGCTAGAAAAGGTGCCCTAAAAATTGTTCATTCCCATTCGAAAGGTGGTAGTAACCGCGGCTGCCATCGCATCTCCTTATACGCGGTCGAAAACTAAAAAATAAAAATAACATGCAAACATCTATCATGACGTTTGGTGCGTGGAACGTGAGGACACTGCTTGACCAAGATGGCAATGCTTGCCCTGAACGCAAAACTGCCATAGTAGCGCGGGAACTTCGCCGCTATAACGTAGATGTGGCTGCTCTCAGCGAAACACATCTTGCTGACGAAGGAGAGTTGATAGAAGATGGCGGCGGTTACACTTTCTTTTGGAAAGGTACCGCAGCGTCCAAACCAAGACGTTCTGGAGTTGGTTTTGCCATCAAAAACCATCTAGTCAAGCGACTCGGAGAGTACCCCTTGCATATCTCAGACCGCGTTACCACATTGCGCCTTCACCTGGACAAAGACAATTACCTTAATGTCATCAGTGTCTATGCACCTACACTAGACAAGTCTGATGACATCAAGGACAGGTTCTATGAAGAACTTTCCCACTGTCTAGACAGCATTCGCCCCCAAGAACAAATACTACTATTGGGCGACTTTAATGCCAGAGTTGGACGAGACTATGAGACTTGGCCTAGAATCTTGGGCAGACACGGAGTTGGCAACATGAACCATAATGGTCAGTTGCTACTGAGTCTTTGTGCTCAATACCAACTTGCGGTTACGAACACTATGTTTAGACTTCCAGCTAAGCACAAGACTACGTGGATGCACCCGCGGTCTAAACACTGGCATCTTATCGACTATGCTGTCGTAAGACAAAGAGATATTAGTCAGGTCCAAATCACCCGCGTTATGCGTGGTGCCCATTGTTGGACTGACCACAGGCTAGTTGTCACTAAGCTGCGACTCCACCTGCATCGTCCTCGTCGATCCATAACAAAAAAGCCTTCTTTCATAAACGTGGATAGGCTGAAAAATCTTGAGGTAAGGCAGAAACTTGTCAACGCCTTGACTGGAAAACTGTTGCCAGTTTCCAAAGAGGCCGGAAATGTCAATGCTGACTGGGGGACCTTATGTTCTCATCTGTTAGATTCCGCTATTCCCACCCTGGGCCTAAAAGACCGACACAGGGAAGATTGGTATGATGATAATAATGAGGTCCTCACGACAGCTATCAGCAAACACCGAGAGCTCTTGCGACAGCATGGACGGCGAGGTTTGGACATTGCTGTGATCAAAACAAGTGACCAGGAACTGCGTAAGCTGTCTCGTCACGTCAAAGACAAGTGGTGGCAGGACAAAGCTTGTCGCATACAGTGGCTTGTAGACTCAAACCAGCTTGGGGAGTTTTATACTTTATTATATTATATATATACTTTATTATATTATATATTATAGTTATTACACTGCTTTCCTCGCTTAGCCGAGGAGGGGGCTAGAAAAGGTGCCCTAAAAATTGTTCATTCCCATTCGAAAGGTGGTAGTAACCGCGGCTGCCATCGCATCTCCTTATACGCGGTCGAAAACTAAAAAATAAAAATAACATGCAAACATCTATCATGACGTTTGGTGCGTGGAACGTGAGGACACTGCTTGACCAAGATGGCAATGCTTGCCCTGAACGCAAAACTGCCATAGTAGCGCGGGAACTTCGCCGCTATAACGTAGATGTGGCTGCTCTCAGCGAAACACATCTTGCTGACGAAGGAGAGTTGATAGAAGATGGCGGCGGTTACACTTTCTTTTGGAAAGGTACCGCAGCGTCCAAACCAAGACGTTCTGGAGTTGGTTTTGCCATCAAAAACCATCTAGTCAAGCGACTCGGAGAGTACCCCTTGCATATCTCAGACCGCGTTACCACATTGCGCCTTCACCTGGACAAAGACAATTACCTTAATGTCATCAGTGTCTATGCACCTACACTAGACAAGTCTGATGACATCAAGGACAGGTTCTATGAAGAACTTTCCCACTGTCTAGACAGCATTCGCCCCCAAGAACAAATACTACTATTGGGCGACTTTAATGCCAGAGTTGGACGAGACTATGAGACTTGGCCTAGAATCTTGGGCAGACACGGAGTTGGCAACATGAACCATAATGGTCAGTTGCTACTGAGTCTTTGTGCTCAATACCAACTTGCGGTTACGAACACTATGTTTAGACTTCCAGCTAAGCACAAGACTACGTGGATGCACCCGCGGTCTAAACACTGGCATCTTATCGACTATGCTGTCGTAAGACAAAGAGATATTAGTCAGGTCCAAATCACCCGCGTTATGCGTGGTGCCCATTGTTGGACTGACCACAGGCTAGTTGTCACTAAGCTGCGACTCCACCTGCATCGTCCTCGTCGATCCATAACAAAAAAGCCTTCTTTCATAAACGTGGATAGGCTGAAAAATCTTGAGGTAAGGCAGAAACTTGTCAACGCCTTGACTGGAAAACTGTTGCCAGTTTCCAAAGAGGCCGGAAATGTCAATGCTGACTGGGGGACCTTATGTTCTCATCTGTTAGATTCCGCTATTCCCACCCTGGGCCTAAAAGACCGACACAGGGAAGATTGGTATGATGATAATAATGAGGTCCTCACGACAGCTATCAGCAAACACCGAGAGCTCTTGCGACAGCATGGACGGCGAGGTTTGGACATTGCTGTGATCAAAACAAGTGACCAGGAACTGCGTAAGCTGTCTCGTCACGTCAAAGACAAGTGGTGGCAGGCAAAGCTTGTCGCATACAGTGGCTTGTAGACTCAAACCAGCTTGGGGAGTTTTATTGCGAGATTCGTAAGCTGATTGGTACTTCCTACAGAGTCAGAGTGCCTCTTAAGTCCTCGGACGGTGAGCGTCTCTTGACAAGTAAGGAGGACGTACTTAATCGTTGGGCAGAACACTTCAATACATTGCTCAATGTAGATCGATCAGCCGATCTAAGTCATATCAGCTTATTGACTCAACTTCCTCTTGCTACCGAGCTAGGTGAACCGTTGTCACGCGATGAGGTTGTTACTGCCATCAGACAGCAACAGAACAATCGGGCGGTTGGTATCGACTGTATACCGGGAGAGTTGCTGAAATATGGCGGCAAGGAATTGCATACGTTGGTGTGGGAGCACTTTGTTCGTATGTGGGAAGAGGAGAAAGTCCCGGATACTTTCAAAGTATCTAGCATAATTGCCCTCTATAAAAACAAAGGTGACCGTTCCCTTTGCGATTCCCATCGAGGTATTTCTCTTTTGTCGGCCCCCGGTAAGGTCTTTGCCAGCGTTCTTTTAAACCGCCTAAGGGGTCTGTCTGAAAGGATTCTACCGGAGACCCAGTTTGGCTTCCGTCCTGACCGAGGCACATGCGAGGCAATCTTTTCTGTTCGGCAACTGCAAGAAAAAAGCAGAGAACAAGGTCGTCAGCTATACCTCTGCTTTGTCGACTTGGAAAAAGCTTTCGATAGTGTGCCTCGGGAAGCCCTCTGGCTAGTGCTGCGAAAACTGGGGTGCTTGGACAAGTTTGTGAGACTTTTAAGACTCCTGCACGACGATATGCAGTGCTGCGTCACTCTAGACGGTGAACAGTCGGAGTTTTTCCCCGTTACCTGTGGGGTAAAACAAGGGTAAGTTTTAGCACCCACGCTGTTCGCGTTGTACTTTGCAGTTGTAGTCCGGGAAGTTCTGCAAACTTCGGTTGAAGGTGTCCGCATCCGTTTTCGCACAAACGGTAGACTTTTCAATTTGGCTAGACTGAAAGCGTGTACCAAAGTGTCTTACGCCATGATCACAGAGATCATGTATGCCGATGACCTTTGCTTTTTAGCGGAAACCCCAGATGGACTTCAGCAGCTGATGTCGCGTTTTCATCAGGCTTGCTGCAAATTTGGCCTAAAGATTAATGTCAAAAAGACGGAGGTGATGTCCACAGACATGCATGGTCATGAGACATTGTCAATAAAGCTTGGTGAGGATGTGCTTCAGCAAGTTGATAAGTTCTGTTATCTGGGGAGCACTATAACATCTAAGTGTGACCTTGATGCTGAGATCAATAGCAGGATCGGTACTGCTGCAGCAGTGTTCGGAAAACTATGTTCCAAGGTCTTTCGCTCACACGACTTAAAACTAGCCACTAAGGTATCTGTCTACATGGCGATAGTGCTGCCAAACCTTCTATATTCCTCTGAGACGTGGTGCGTGTACCGTCACCACATTCGCACACTAGACAGGTTCCATCTTAAATGTCTGCGCAGTATCATGAAGATCAGCTGGTCTGATCGAGTGCGAAATACCGAAGTTCTGCGTCGAGCCAATGTCGGTGGCATTGAGACATACTTAATGCGTCGCCAGCTTCGGTGGTGCGGACACGTCTCGCGAATGTCGGAGGATCGAGTGGTGAAGCGCATCTTTTATTCAGAACTGCAGGAGGGTAAGCGAAAGCCAGGCGGCCAACTCCTCAGATACAAAGATGTTCTGAAGCGGCATATGAAAAGATGCAACATTGAACCCTCGAAGTGGGAAGGTATGGCGGCACAGCGCCCTGAACGGCGTAGCCTTGTTCTGAGGCAGGTTCGCGTCTTCGAGGATCAGCGCAAAACCTACCTCGATGCTAAGCGCGATGACTTAAAGGCTCGACCACCTGCAGCCATTCAGTATAATTATGTTGATGGTAAACTCACGCGCGCCTGGTGCGCACGGGAGTTTAATAAGAAGATCGGCTACATTAGCCACCTTCGCGCGCATCAGCGCCGGGACAACTAGGAGTTGAAGTGGTCGCCAAGACCGAAAACGGTCGGAACAAACAAACACAAACACATTCGGCCTCTGTATCGATAGTAATGACTATTTCAATAAGATTTTCTAAAAAATATTTAATGTACAGATTTGACTCAGTTATAATTTTACTATATGTATAGATGTGGAAGATATAGATTTTTAGTAACACCAGTTAATGAACATTATGGTCTTACTTCTTGCTTCTTGATAGCTTATTACACAAAACAGAATTTAATAGGATCCAATCAATCTCATATTATGTCACTTTCTAATTGCAATTACTTGGGTCATTAGATTGTGAAATTCTTCGACAAAGATGATATAGTAAAGCAGAAAAGCTAATATAGCTAACAGCTATAGGCTGTTATATTTATATTCTAGGGTTTCGTATCCGCAAGATTTAAAAGAAATTTTTATTAAGTCTACTATTGTATATTTTGACGTTGGTCTTTATTTGAAAGGACTTTATATTATTTTAAGCACAAGTAGGTACATAAGTAGCATACCGGAAGACTGAGGTGAAGACGTGTCAGAGTAGCTAAAGCCCACTGTACATGGATGGGACAAGACCTGTTGTCATGGAAAGTTTAGGGGGAGGCCTTTGTCCAGCAGTGGACGTGCTTGGGCTGAGACGACGACATAAGTAGCTCATTGCAATTTTTTGTTGAGTGACTGACTGAAATCATGACTTTACAGTATTATACACACAGTTTGATTGTATATACGTGTGTGTGTGTGTATGAATGTTTATCCTCCATGATTTAACAGCTGGAATTCACATACTCGTATAGGCTACATAATACAATAGGCCCCTAGGGACGCAAACTAGGGAACTAGGGAAGAAAGCGACAATAAATTATTGTACTTAATAAAGTTAAAAACTGAAAAGTTATTTCAGTATAAGAAATATATTTATTTACGGCCCCACTATTACTATGCTTAGCTATGAATAAAAATAAAAAATAACCCATTTACGCAAGAATATTTCGTATCCTTGTTTGATTAGTGATGGGATTACATATAAATAAAGTACACACAAACAAAAACCCATAATGTTAAAAAAAACAATATGAACAAATTTAAAAATTTATAAAACAGTAAGTTCTGTCATTCTCCACATATTTCTCTGTTCTGTACCTCATTTCTAAGGGCAATAAATACATATGTATCTATATAAAGGTTATCGTTGCAAAGCGTGTGATATCAACAAAATTTGGTGCCCCCAACGATATATTTGTCAGAAATAATTTTCAGCACGAGATATTGAGAACTGGACGTATCTTGACATGCGATAAGTTAAGGACGATCTGTGAACTGTTCTTTGAACTTCAATCAAGTTATGTTATTATACGTCCTAGGATTTGTTTTGATTACATTTAAATATATATATAGAGTAAGTACAGTAAGAGTAAAATACTGTTTATTTTAGAATAGAACTACGCACAATAATAAATACCTTAGTGAGTGTATGTTTGGTGCAGGTACCGACACATTTCGGTAAATGGTAAATTTCATTACTAACATATGTTCTAACATGACACACACACATACACACACGATGATCCTTTGATAAATGTGGTATTAATCTCGAAAGGAAAGACAAAGCTCATCATAGCAACGTTCATGTACAAAAATCCAAATAACAATTGTCTTATGCTAGCGACTCACCCTCGCTCCGGCTTTGTCCCTTTGAACGTTTAGTATAGATTTCTCAGAGATGAAATATTTTCCCGTAGTAAAGAGTATCCTATATGTTGTCTCGTATAACTAGCTATTAACATACCGAATTTCATCAAAATGATGCGTTCCCAGACAGACAGACACACAAAAATTCTAAAAACTATAGATTCGGCCTCTGTATCGATAGTAATGACTATTTCAAAATAAAATTTTCCAAAAAATATTTAATGTACAGATTCGACTCATTTTGAATTTTATTATATGTATAGATTTTAAGTATTACATTTAAAAATACCTATGCTGTTTTGGAAGACAACTTATTAATATTTTTCTGAATTCATTTGACGTTATTACAGAGCTTTGAGCAACGGGAGCAAGTCATGTTCAATTAAGCAATAAGCATAGCACCATCAAGAGAAATCTGTAAAAAGCGAAAAAAAATGATATTAAGGCAAGATACGAGATCTATTACACGGTAGATACATCGAAACTTTTCCGTCATATTTTCTCGATTTTTCGACTTCAAAAAGGAGTTCAATTTGATTGTACTATTGTGTAAATTTTTGTGCATTTTACGCCACGTCTTGAACAAAAATTTTGAACCGATTAACCTCTAATAAAAATCATTAAAAGATTCTTACTTTTTAAGTAATTTTGAAGCTTACATACCGAACACTTTTGCTTAGTAAAACCACAGATCATAATATAATACTGTACAACTTACGTTAAGACTAAATAATATAAATGTTTGGATAATGTTAATTTAAATGTTTGGATGGATGTTTGTCACTCAATCACGCCAGAACGGCTGAACGGATCTGGATGAAATTTGGTACAGAGATAGATTATAGTCCAGAATAGCACATAGGCTTCTTTTTACTCCAGAAAAATTTACGTAAATGTGTGTAAAAATATTCCTTCGTCAACTTCTTTTCATATTTTTAGTCAGCTTCTATGCGGTCGGGTATTTTATTTTTATAATATATTTTTCTTGATTTGATTATATAAAGTCATAATACTAAAATACATTATTTACATACGTATTATCTTTATCCCTCACCTTTCACCTACGATTTATTACATTTTTGTGAACAAAATTCATTTATTGATAAGAAAACCAAGATAGTTTTGCTTCGAATGACCCTTAAAATAAAAATATTATGTTGATAACATCATAGCGCAGTGTAGTGGCACTAGCTTATGACTGTACAATGTGTGTCATGGGATTGAATCCTGGATAAATACATTTTTAAATTGAGGATAGGATGTTAATATACATGTTTGCTGGTACCGAATTCAAAAATATCTGATTAGGTATCTATTCTAATTGAAAACCCCCGTTCAGTTATTTTTTACATTTTAGTGCCTGGAAGTCAGTTTTATTTTTTTGTTTTTAAATAAAATAAAACAGGTTGCTTAGACGAAATCTCATTCTATTGTTATTGGACTACTATAATTATAAATGCGAAAAATAAGTTTATATCTGTGTGTATGCTTATTACTATTTCACGCTGAAACGGTTGAACAGATTTTTTTTTATTAAAAATGGGCTTACTCTTGACCTTTATCTTAGCTCGAAGGCATAGATAAGATCTATGATCTAGCGAGTTTACCCAGGAGAAGCCTTGACAGGCTTCTCTTGGGTTGTTAACACACGCACCTTAAAAAAGTTTCAGGTTGTACGCACTCGAAAAAACAGACGCAGGTCGGGCATTCCATTTCTTGGCTGTGCGCATTATAAAAGATGATGAATAGCGCTTAGTGCGAGTGGTCGGAATGTCAACCAAGAAAGGATGGTATCCTGCAGTACGATTGGTGTTCCGATGGAAGAATGGTGGCGGCGGTATGAGACCATGGAGCTCGAGGGCACACTCCCCGAAGTAACAACAGTCTGTACAAAACCGACAGACAAGCCATCTGACAACGGTCTCCTAAGTTGTGAAGCTTAGTTTTATTTGGATGAAATGTAGTATATAGTTATTATACGAACTGCTAACTTAGTCAAGGCAAGTCAAGTCGCTAAGTTAATTAAAATATTAAAATGATGTTCGATCTAAGCGTTAATTTCCTATATGATATAATCTGATTCTATTGAGGAATATGTAATTCCCATATATTTTTCGCTAGCGACTTACCCTGCCTGTGTACGCGGATTTTGTTCACAATTTCATAGGTTTTAATTTTTTGCCCGGAACTATGAGTCTTTTTCTAAAATAAAAGTAGCCTAAGTTTCGGAGATTAGCCGGAATAAGCAGACAGACAGACAAAAATTTTTAAAATAGTTTTTTCCTTATTAGTAGGTACCATATATACTTTCATATGAATTTAGTTAAAAGCTGTTATTTTGTGGAAAAAAAGACAAAGAATGTTGTTTAATGTTAAGATGTGGTTTTATATGACTGTACAGTTGTTTATAGATCATAGTTTCAAAAATTTTAGCAAAGCAGTTTAAGATAGAAATTGGTCGATAATTTCTGACATCACTCTTATCGCCTGATTTATAAATAGGGGTGATTTTAGCAATTTTCCATAAAGATGGAAATATACCATTTAAAACTGATTTATTATAAATGATTGTTAATGGTTTTGATAATGCAGAAGAACAAATTTTTATAAAAATTGGTGGAATACCATCAGAGCCCGATCCTTTAGAAATATTAATTGATTTGAGTTGAAGTTCAACTGCGTCTGCGGAAAATTGTAAATTACTTATAGAAAAAATAGATGGAGGGAATTTAGGTGTATAATTAATAGATGATATATTTCCATAAACAGTTGAAAAATATTCAGCAAAAAGATTAGTAATATCAATACCAGATTCAGCTACTCTATTATTAAAATGCAGCTGTTTAGGGATATTATTAGTTACTCTCTTATTTTTAGTGTAACGATAAATTATTTTCTATATTTGATATATAAGACCTAAAACATATTTCAGTTTGTTGTTTAACTCTTGTTCTTAGGAGAGCAAAAGTATCATAGTCTCTTGGATTATTGTAAATTCTTCTAGTATGTCAGATTTCCATTCATGCTTAATATCAAAATTAATTTTTTTAGAGATAGCTATTAGTACGCCGCCACCTCGATATAAGACATAATATATCGTAATTTTGACTTATAATATTATTACAAATCTCAGTCTAACGTAAATTGGACATTCCGATCAAAGAGGTATTAAGTTTGTTATCTGGATGAGTTTTGTTATATCTGTAAACTGCTGAATAAAATTCGTCACGTCGTCTAATATTTTAAACTTTATTATGATTGAACGAGGTCTTTCTGTTTTGTTTAGCTACTCTCGTGAAATGAACAATGTCATCATCAGCTATATTGTGACCAATAACAGTGTTGCTCTAAAATATTGATACGATCGGATAAATCAGTAACGGTTGTTTGAAGTACGGAGTTTTCATTCCGTAGACTTTTATTATCATTAGACAACTCTTCGATTTTCACCTTCATTTCATCATGCATTTCACTGAGGAAACTAACTGATTTGCATAAATCATGAACCTCTTGCATCTAAGCTTGTGCTAGTGGAAATGGAAGGTGAGTTAAACGATTTCTGTCCTTCATCAAAGGCGAATATCGTTCTAATTGGAGTATTTGTATTGCAAATTTTAGGTTGCATGATATATGAATCAAACAAATACATATCAAACAAACACTTTAATTTTATTTGTCTGTATAGATTGTCTATTAGCGGTATCGATTGAAGAAAAGTATCTTACAAATAGCGATATCGATTGAAGAAAGGTATCTAAAGTAAAGAAATATAAGAATAAGATTATATCATTGAAAAGTTTATTGAAATTGTACAATTTTTAGAAACATTATATATATATATATGACGACACGTTTGGCTCAGTTTGTAGTGACCCTACTTGCTGTGCCAGCGGTCGCGGGTTCGAATCCTCCTGGGGACACTCATTTGAGTGATGAGCACGAATGTAGTACAAGAGTGTACTCCAGTTATGGGTGTTTATATTTATAATATGTATGTTTTTAAAGTCATATATGTGTAGTGTATCAACTATCTGGTATCCATAACACAAGCCTCGTAGCTTACCATGGAACTATATGGTGCTGTGTTAATGTCCTAACTTATATTAGTTATTTCACTGTCACTTTGATTAAAATATGTCCTACGTAAATGCCTCTGTGATATATTCATTTATTTTATTTATATTAATGTTAGTTGAAGTTCAGTTATCTTTAGAAGTTAATTAAGGAAAGTTTTTTATTCTATTTAGTTAGAAATTTACAGTTCTTTAACTTGCGAAGAGAACTCTTTAGATTAGTCCGTGATAGAAATCGGAATAAATATTTTAGTAGTAGTTGTAGTAGTAGATTGTATTATATATTTAATTAATTTATTTAATAAAAATGTAATGGAAAAATATAGCAATATTTTTATCGACATCATAAAAGCTAAAAAAAATTTTTCGATTCGTATTTTTTTCTTGAAACTAAGGATGTCTTGTATATCTATACTTGCTGTAAAATTTTGTATTTTATTTCAAGCCAATTAGGCAGGTCCTGCCGATAAAATCGACGGCCAGCTGTTTTTCTACTTTTTTTTGTGATGCGGTAACAGACAGACAGACAAAAATTCTAAAAACTATAAATTCGGCCTCTGTATGGATAATAATGTTTATTTCAATAAGAATTTCCAAATAATATTTAATGTACAGATTCGGCTTAGTTACAATTTTACTAAACGTATAGATATAGACAAAAAAAATTACAAATATACTTAACTATATATACAAAACCAATGTACACTTAGTTATTACTGTACAAGACATGTCCGCGTGGAATAGTAGCAAGAATGCTAGCCATATTCCCCCGTTGAATGGCAATGCCGATTCTTTGGGCAAAAAATCTTTATCATATTAGTGTAGATATAGACAAGTTTACATAAACTCCTTCCTCCTCCATTTTTTTCTCATATTATATTTTCGTATTTAAAAGTGTTTCCGGACGCTTGCTTATTAACTAGTCTTTACCCACAGCTCTGTTCGCTTAAGTCTAGAAAACCTAAGACCAAGAATAAAAATTTTAAATGATTAGGCTCAGGTCCTAAATTATGTACTAAATAGGTTCCTTCTTAGCGCTATAGTTTAATAGAAAGATCTTTTTAAGAGGAATAATTCTGTAATACATTGTTTTGATATAACTTTATTCGTTTACGCCTATAAAGCTCCCGATTGGCATGATTTTTTTCGACATCTTCAACATTCATTGTTCATATTTCAGCTAATTTACACGAAACCTTAATGAATTATACACCTAAACCTTTCTCATGAATCACTCCATCTATTTGTGAAAACCTTATAAAAATCAGTTTGGTAGTTTTAAGTTTATCGCGTTCACACAGACAGACAGACTTTATTTTATAATATCTCGTGATTTCTCACTACCGTAAGTTGGCTGGAGAGATCTGTTCTAGCTAAGTCCACTTTTGCAAATTAATTTTATTGTATTTTAAATACTGTATTTCAGTAACCTTCAACAAGGAAAAGTATAAATATAATATTTATGTATTATTTTAATTAAATTTAATTAGAATATATGTCTTACGTATTGTGTTATTTTAAACAAAAAGAATCTAAATTACGCTCATAATAATTAAAAGCTCAAAGCTTTTTCGGTTCTAAATTCACCTTTTCTCTGAAACAACAGTAATTTAAATCAGTATATTAAAGACACCCTCTAAAAAAAATTGTACAGCATTTTTAGAAAATTATAATATTAAAACATATTTTAACATTTTGCTTCTAAATCTTATTTTATCTAAACATAAAATAGTGAGTAAGTTTTTTCACAATATTTTCCTTCGCTGTATTAACAAAGGACTATCATTTTGGAAATGATTCGCACATAAAAATATCAGAGTTGCGTGACCCGGGATTGGAACCCGCTGCATATGGTCTTCAAGCCAGCATGTTATCACTGGTTATCACCTATGCACGTTACATTAATTTCATGCTTAACTACACGATAGTATGCAATAGATAGTCTGTATATTAATATACATATATATATATATATATACATTATTAACTGCCTCGATGGTGTAGTGGCTAGCATGTACGGCTGCATACTCGGAGGTCCTGGTTTCGAGTCCCGGGTCGGGCCAAGTTTAGTTATTGAGTCTTTCTGTATAGTAAGCCTCAGTAACAGCCGTACCTCGGAGAGCACGTAAAGCCGTCGGTCCTGCACCTTAACTCTCACTGGTCGTTTCGAGCAGTCGTCCCACCGGAGTATGAGAGTGACAGGAATAGAGAGCGCACGTTGTGTCTGCGCTCTCTCTCACACGCGCTGCACTATAATATCTCCTGCGCAGTTGGCTAGTCTCAATGTGATAGATTGGCCGCCGTGGCCGGAATCGGTCAGAAGAACATTATGTACATTATACATAGGAATTATGAGTTTTATATCTCTTACTTGACAAATAACTGATTCTCTATATGCAATTTCATCCGCCTTTTCATCCCATTGAGGGATGAAAACTATGCTATGTCCTCAAACTATCTTAATTTTTTCGTCTTTTTCATTTATAGTTTATCCATTACAAACAAACATGCAAACATATAAAACACATTTTTTTTCTTTTTAAAATATTAGTATATATAACACAGTAAGGGCGTTAAAAAAAATAAAAAAATTATAATTTTATCATTTTATTTATTTTGACTAAATTAATTAACAACAATAATATATAATTTTAGAACCATTATTAACATATTTAAAGATAAATCATATATATATTTACAAAATATATTTCATCAGCTGCTATAAAATTTAAAGCTTATTAAAAATATATTCTTCTTCTACATGGAGTGTAATAATAAGTTTATTATGGCGTCATTCTAGATTACTATGGGGTTTTTATTTCAAAAATGTAGTAAATAACATAAACTGCCTTTTAGTGAGCAGATAAAGGAGAAATAAGGAAATGACGATTGATGAGTACCAAGTCATCAATCTTCTATTTCAGGAGGAATGCTTCAAATTGACAACAGTTGAGACAGGTTGAATGCAACAATTCAATCGATATATAAATATAAATAAGGCAGTGGTAGCCCAGTGGTAACGCGCTCGTTTGTAAAACAGAGTGTAGCGTGTTCAAATCCCGGGTCTCGCACCTGTGATATTTTCATGTGCAAATCATTTCTAACATGATTACCACTTGCCTTACGGTGAAGAAAAACATCGTGAGGAAACCTGCATGTCTGAGAGAACCTAGCAAGTTTTTGAAAGACATGTGAAGTCCGCCAACACGCACTTGGCCAGCGTGGTGGACTATAGCCTGATCCCCCTCGTATATGAAGGGGGGCACGTGCCCAGCAGTGGGGCATTAAAAAGGGCTGAATATATACAGAAATATAAATAAACGTAACGTAAATATAAATAAATGAGTCCCCATACAAACTTTCATCCCCATTTGACCCCCTTAAGGGATTATTTCCGGGATAAAAAGTATCCTATGTCCTTCCCAGGGTCTCAAACTATCTTCTTACCGAACACCCTTTTTGTTTCTATCTTCAATTTCTCAAATAATTATTTTTTTACAGAAATTATATATTTTTTTCTATTTTTATTAGGACCTTTTTTATTAACCTTTTTTAAATTACACTTTGTGACAGATTTGTAAAAAAAAGAATATAGTGTCATTTTAAGGCATACAATATTAAGCACGATTTTTATTTCTATTGATAAAATAGATCAAAGTATTTAAATATTGCTGCAACGACCATAAATAGGTAGAAGATGAAACAAACTATGGATAGCAGATTTAGACAAGAGATTTTTTCTCCCAATCTTTTGTTCAAATATTCTATCCATAGCTTCTTCTATTTCTAGTCTATTCAAGTTTTATTAATTTCGATTTCGTGATTTCAGAAACTAGCGGGTAGTGGAAACTGGCTAATATATATTTTAATTGTTTATATTTTAATCTATATAAATAAAAATGAGTGTTGGTAAGCGCATAACTCAAGAATGGCGTGACCAATTCGGCTAAATTTTTTTTTCGTATGTTCCTTAAGGTCCAACGAAGGTTTAAATAAAGAGAAAAAATGAAAAATTAACGAAAAATATAATTAAAATTTATATGGCTAACGCTGGCTAATAACTATTTATATATATTTAAAACGTACCTATATACTATAAAAACCATAATATGGACCATAAATACAGTATACAATAAGAACAGATTTCATTTACATATACATAATATACTATACACTCTAAAATAAATGGCTAATCTCAAAGAGGTTGGCCGCCGTGACCAAAATTGGTTGGAAGGACATTGTTATATATTGTATGGACCTTGTAGTTTATTGGATATAATCAAACAAATTTATCTTCGAACACAGGGCTTTATGACAAAAATTATATATTTTTCTACATACTTCATTTCATTAGTTAATTTTGCCAATTTTTCTTTATCTTCTGTAACTTGTCCTGAATAGATTTAAAATCTTTTAAATATTATCTATCATATTAAGTAAAACTATTACAGATAAAATATTTACACGTTGCAAAATCTATTATTTAATAGTAGGAAAAACAATATGGTACGAGTATGACTCTTGAACCTCTTAGTAAAATATCAACAAACCAATATTACTATATGTTAGTATCTTTTGAAACTTAAAATAATAAGAATCTAGATCATGAATATTCTAGATTTAGGTTTTATTTCTGACTAGCTTTTAAAGAGCTCTTACTAGGATACCTTGGCGTTTTTTAAATAAACACATTATTATTAGAACTTAGAAAGTGCTATTTGGCTTATTAGATTTTTTCAGGAATTCTCATTTTCAAATACATACTACGTTTTGTAATGGTATAGGCAATTAATATATACCACAGTGACTTTCACAAAAACATGTAAACCAATAACATGATAAGTGACTTTACAATGTAGTTTTATTATGTTTCTTTTCTTCATCACCAGTTTCTTTCACTTCGTTCCAACTTTGAGTTTTACAGGAACCAAAAATGATGAAGAAAATATTACACGCAATATAAATCGCTGATGAAACGTAAAACACCTTGCGCCATTCATTAGGGTCAGTCTGAAAAAAAAGAATAAATAATAATAAATAAACGTTGGGACATTAACACACAGCGCCATCTATTTCCATGGTAAGCTACGAAGCTTAAATACATACATATTATAAATATAAACACCCATGACTGGAGTATAAACATTCGTGCTCAAAACACAAATGAATGCCCCCAGCGGGACTCGAACCCGCGACCGCTGGCACAGCAAGTATGGTCACTACAAACTGACGTCAAATTAAAAAGAAAGAATAATTGAAAGCTTTAGTATTGGAAGTAAAAAAAGTCATTACTTCTTTCTCATAAAAAATAAAAGCTCATTTTAACCCATTAGGGGTATAATAGAGTTAATATCCTTTGTTAATGGTAATTAACTGTGTTTTATGTTATTTTAATTAACTTAATGAACCATTATACTAAATGTAAAATGTTTGAGCAAAGCTATACACTTGATTTCCTTCTATATTGAAGTTTAGTTTTTAACCTTCAACGCAAAAAGAGAGGTGTTATAAGTTTAACGTGTGTATCTGTGTGTCTGAGGCATTGTAGCGCCCAAACGGATGAACTGATTTTAATATGGTTTCTATTGTTTAAAAGGTGACTTGATCGAAAGCGTTATTAGCTATAAATCAAGAAAATCCATTCAGTTGTTTGTAGGCTATCAGCTCTTTTCTAGACGTTAAAAAGATATGAACTATGAGTACTTCCACAGATGTAATCGATTTGAAACCAATACGTCTTACGCGCTATCTATGATGCCTCCATCATAAATTATATATGGTGACATTATATGAAATTGCGAATAAATAAATGAATTAATACCGAATCACATTTTGCGAAAATATGATAATTAAAAATCTATATTACTAATTTAATCGATTGCAAAGAAGAAGTACCTCATCTTGAAGTATAGCGCCTGCAGCTAGAGGCGCAATAATGGAAATAATGTTAGCTATACAGTTGGTGATGCCCATGAGAGTGCCCGCGAAGTTTGGAGCCATGTCGATGTGCACTAGCTGTGATATAAAAAATATATTATTAGATGGTAAAAATAAAGTAGCTGTAGTGTAAGTGTGTTACTGTTACTCCAGGTCATATACAAAATCTCATCCAAATCCGTCCATCAGTTTCAGCGTTAAGGAGTAATAAACATACAGACAAACTTTCGTATTTATGACGATAGTTCAATTTAATAGCTGCAAATTGATAGTCCAAATTAAGGTGCAGGGAACAGATGAGCGGCACAAAGGTGTAAATTTTTCATTTTGTGAGCTTAAGTTAATCGTTCTACATTGCATCAATTCATCATAAAGATCATATTAGATAGTCAAACTAATAATTTTTTGCGCTTGCAAAACCAATATAACAACTAAAACTTAGTGCTATTTTGTAAATAATAAAACACAGTGATATAAATTACCAAGTAACCAGTGTAGTGGCCAGCATTCAAGCCAACGACGATAGTCAATAAAGTCACTGCCAAGGCTACGGAGCCGGCGGGAACGTAACTCAGTCCTATCAAAGCAATGGCTGGACCGAAGTGACCTAGAAATTGCAATAAATATTATAATAAAGGCATATACTAAAGTTATTGGTAAATTGGACTCGTTAATACAAAAAAAAACAAAAGTAAAAACTTTGTATTCGACCGGGATTCAAACCCGGACCCCCGTGATCTTCAATCTTGCGCCTTGGCCGCTTGATCATAGTGCTTATGGCCGAGCGTATGAAATTAGCGACCATATATTGCGTGGAATAATGCGAGAGAAAACCACATGAAAACTCAAAACGTTTTCCCAGACATAAGACTAATCTAGATAGATTTTTCGACCCGAAAACCCCCACATACCAAATTTCAGCGAAATTGTTAGAGCCGTTTCCGAGATGGCCTGTATATATAAATAAATAAATATTATACAAGAATTGCTCGTCTAAAGGTATTCGATATTCGAGGTATTAGATTAGATACATTAAAATATATTACGCGACAGTGAAATAGCTATTACAGTTGGGACATTAACACATAGCACCATCTAGTTCCATGGTAAACTACGAGACTTGTGTTATGAATACGAGATATTTGATACACTATACATATATAAGTTTAAATACATATATATTATAAATTTAAACATCCATGACTGGAGGAGAAACATTCGTGCTCATCACACAAATTAATGCCCCCGACGGGACTCGAACCCGCAACCGCTGGCACAGCAAGTAGGGTCACTACAAACTGAGCCAAACGTGTCATCGAATAACAATAGACGATGCCCTTATTTATAATATAACTAAACTAAATTAAAATGAAAAGAAAAACTAATTAAAAAAATGAATAAAGTAATTCGCCATTTTGTGGTGGCGGCCATATTGGATTTGAAATTTATCATAGTGTATAATATAAATAATATTCTACTAGTCAAGCCCTTTCATTTGATACCCATATTGAGGAAGTTTTGAAAAAATATGTAATCCACCATTTTGTAGCTGCGACCTTCTTGGACCGATTTTCAACAAACATAGCTAAAACACTCCCAACTAATTCACCTTACAAATAAAAAAAAAATGGGTTCATCCGTTCGGGAGCTACGATGCCACACACAGACACTTCAATCTTATAACACCGGGGGTTAAAAACAATCTGATTCTAAAACAGCAAGTAGACAAAAGTCTTACCAATGGAATTAGAAAGTTTTCTGCACGCCGTTATTGAAAGCCAATTCTTCTTTAAGATAAAATCTGATGTGAAGCCTATCGGAAAGCTCAGGAGATACATAGCCAGGTACGGCAACGCTGACATCACACCATTCTGGAAACAGTGAATTGAATTTACGCCATGTAAAAATTTTAAGTAAGGCAGATTTTAAAACAATAAAAACTTAAGAAAACCGGCTTCAATATTAAAAAAGTAAAAAATAACTCAGCGGAAGTTTTCATTTACTATAGATACCTAATCAGGTATTTTGAAGTCGGTTTCAACTGAGGCAAATATTGAGAACCTCCTTCTTATTTTAAAGTCGTATACTTTACTATATAATAAAAATCTCCCAATATTTGTCTTTTTATTTAATACTAGTGGCTCACTGTCGCTTCGCTCGGGTTCATACCTAGTATTGTTACATGTTAGTATTGTGTACGTTTTAAATAGATGTAAATAGTTATTAGGTAGCGATAGCCACGTAAATTAAAAAAATATAAGTGAATTTTCCAATTTTTTAATAGTTATTCTGTTTTTCGGGGCGGAGACAATTCCAATAAATCAAAGATAATAAAAATCGACCCACCAATTCTCGAGTTATAAGTGTTGTAACAAACCCGACTTTTTTATATATATACACACATCTAATAATAATAATTCGTTTTTTATTATCAATATCGACTCAGTATTAGTGAAAATAATTCATAACATTTTGGATTAGTCAAAACACTCACCGCTTTTATGTCAACACCTAGTACTTGTTTCATGTATGATGGCATTTCTGTCATCAGAGTCCAGAAACCCCAGTTCTGACCGCAGTGGGCTACGATCAGAGAAATGAACGGTAGGGAAGTAAATATGGCTGACCATGGAGTTGGTAATTTCTGAAAAAAAAAATCAAAAAACATAAAATTATGGTAAAATATTCTAAAAAATAGTAAAAATTCATTTAAAAAAGATTAATTTAAAATGTCAAATATTCGCATAAATCTTAGAAATTATTATGTAAAGTAGTAAGAAGTTTACGTCTGTTCATAGAATTGAAAAATTGAATAAAATGTGGTGGAATATAGAAAGGATCTTTCCTTAATCGCTTTACGCTTTGAAAAGCAAATTCTTTTCTTGGAAAATCTGGACAGATTGTATTATATTTTTATTATATAACTTATTTATTGCTCTTACAGTTACAGAATAAGCTCTAAGTTAAGTTTTTTAAATTCAGACCAATATTTTTCGATAACCTAATATGGCAATTTTACCTACATTCTACTAGATATAAATAAAAAAAATCTTTACAAAAATAAAAAAAACCCACTGCGTAAAAAGTGAACTAAGAAGATGAAAACAAGTTGTCGAAGGAATATATATAGTATTTCGGAGACAACCATATGTATATGTTTTCTAATAGCTGCGTGTGTTTATGTGTTCGACTATATAATATATATATATACTTAGTTTGTTCCTTCGTCAACTTGTTTTCATCTTTTTAGTTTGCTTATTACGCAGTGGGATTTTTTATTTTTGTAAATATATTTTTTTATTTGTTTTCTAGCATTTCTCACTCCAAATTACATTTTAACATATAATATATATTTTTAAACTCTTTATTTTGATACCCCACTCGATAGGTTTTCAGGGTAAACATTTTTAAAGACAATATGGCGCCAAAAATCAACCGATTATTTTTTATAATTTTGATATACCCAGGGTCACTCTCACAATTAAGACAAAACTAACGGCATCTTTCAAGCTAAAGTTCATCAAGCGGTTTAGGCTACAGAGCGCGCCAAAGAAATATACATACATGCACTCGAAAATCATAACCCTCCTTTTGGCGCAGTCGGGCAAATATATTGAATAAAATATTGAACAATAATTGTGCACAAACTATACTTAAATGAATATAATTGTGCTATTTTAGAATGTAAACCGATATACATGCGTTTGTACAAGGTAAAGACCTCTCACCGTCGCTTTATCTTAAAAGCTTTTTCTCAATCATTTATGAAATAATAAAAAAAATATACGTGTTAAATTGAAAACCTCCTTTTTTTCGTCGGTTAAAAAAAATAGTGAATCGTAATATGAAAAAATAGTTAAGGAATTAACTTGAATGAGAGTGACTTTAACACATTTTATTTTTATAAAAGCTTTATTGGCATATTACTTTATATATGTAACTCCATAAAACCAAAAACATGGCGTACTCCATAAGAAATATCGTCAACTTCGAATTTTTTAATTTACAGTCACTAAACTGTACTGCAATTATTTGCAATTCCCATAGATAGTGTATAAATTTAAAATTAAAATTATCCTACTTAATCTATCTATACATATAATAAAATTGAAACTAAGCCTAATCTATACATTAAAAATTCCTTTTGGAATATCTTATTGAAATAAACATTATTATTGATACAAAGGCCGAATCTATAGTTTTTAGAATTTTTGTCTGTCTGTCTGTCTGTCTGTTACCGCATCACGGAAAAAGCATTGGAGGGATTTTGATGAAATTTGGTATGGTGTTAGCTGGTTATTCGGGTCAACATATAGGATACTTTTTACTTCAGGAAAATATCTCATCTCTGAGAAATCTTTATTAAACGATAAAACGTAAGCAGGGACGAAGTTGAGCGGAGCAAGGGTGAGTCGCTAGTAATAAATACAATAATTTTACTTTTATACTATTTCTAATACAAACTACAGTTCTGACTTGGTCTTGAATTCCACCGGTCCTGGAGAGTCCTTCCGTTAGGTATGATGGTTAAAAGAATTGAGAACTTTTACACAATAATATATCTTACGTATGGAATTAGTCTTAGTAAGACAAGTCGAGATGACAAAACGGATTGAAAGTGGTTTGATTTGATATTGACCACTTCAATAGTAGGAAAACTTAGCGAAATCATTAAGTGAAGAATACAAAATTTGCTGACCTTGTGCTCGCTGCCGACATGCCCCAAAGAGCTCTGTATGTACATCTTCTCTTCCGCGCTAATCATTTTAGAATTCCTTGGCGAGTCTGCCCCAAGAAAGACATATGCGACTGTCCAAACGGCACCAAGAGATCCATTGACGTAGAAGATGGCTGGCCAACCCCATGCATCCGCTATGAAACCTGATATTAAGAGCTGAAGTGCAGTCCCTAATTGTGCACCTGAAAAAACAGATTTAAATAAGTTTAAAGTTATTTGATGTTTTACTTTTTCTTAATATAACTTATGGATAAGTAAGTATTGCGTAGAAACATAAGCTTTGAGGAGGCTACTACAAATTATAAAGTTGTGTTTGTTTTTATATGTCTGTATTCCTTTACGCTGAAAGACCTGAACAGATCTGGATGTAAAGTCTATAATCTAGAGTAACACGTAGACTACTATAAGGCAGTTAAGTATGAATCAGAGAATAAAAAAATATAACTTGACTATGTTTTTAATTCAGCTTTAAGCAAATAAAAACTTTGAAAATTATGCACCTAAGGAAACACCCGAACAAAACGAATGTATGTTGCTAGTTTTATATAATCTATGACATTAAAGTATAATGTTATATTCTACATTTTCCAAAAAAAAAAAATTTTCCGATCCACTATATACTACCGGTTTCGCGCGGCTATGCTCGTTGATTTAATATATATGAATAATTAATAATGAATAAATACCTAAATTAAATATTAAATAAAATATAAATATTAAGAAATGAAAAGTTTAATATATAAATATGATAAATTAAATATATTATGTTATAAGTCACCTACATCATACATTAATAAAACATTTAAGAATTGTGAAGTGTCCATCCTACGCTATCAGGTACAAACAATCTTCAAAACAATAATATTTACGTAATATCTGTTACTTTTACCACCATCTATTTTAAAAACAGTATTTGATTTATTTTAAAATTTTGGTCATTTTAGTCTGTTAACATTTTTAATGAAAAATTTTTAATACTATATTTTTTTATATAATATGCAGCTTTAGTCAAAGTAATATTGAGCGATTGTCGCTTGAAACAAATCCCCAAATCAAAAGATATTTATTTATGAGGGTCGATGGAACCGAAGTTGATACCACTTGTATAGTAACTGCCTCGGTGGTGTAGTGGCTAGCATGTACGACTGCACACCCGTAGGTCCTCGGTTCGAATTCCAGGTCGGGCCAAGTTTAGTTATTGAGTCTTTTTGTATAGTAAGCCTCAGTAACAGCTCGAAGTTGGGAAGTCGGTGCTCCGCCTTAACTCTCATCTGTCGTGTCAAGTAGTCGTCCCACCGGTGTATGAGAGTGATAGGAATAGAGAGTGCACTTGTGTCTGCGCGTACACTTGTGCACTATAATATCTCCTGAACAGTTGGCTAGTCTCAATGAGATTGGTCGCCGTGGCCGGAATCGGTCAGGAGGACATTATTATTATTAGTAATAAAAATAGTTACCAGCGTATATAATAGTGCCTAACCGACTCTTTTCTTCTAACGGCACCCATTTGCCTATCAGATTGTGAATTGATGGGAAGATGAAACCTTGAGAGAGCCCTTGTACCACACGACATGCACAGACTAACTGCCAACCGCCCTAAAATTATTATATATAGTTAATAAATAATAATTAATAAATAAATAGTTTTACGTTTTGGAAATATTAAAATAAAGTAGAAATAAAATAATTGCCTATTTATTTTATTTATATTCTTTTTGTGGAGTTCTGCAAAGGGCCTTCAGAGATACGAAGACAACGGTTTGTAAAAAGAAAAAGTATAAGAAAAAAATTTATATTAAAAAACCGTGTTTTATTTTTTAATTTGGCCTTTAAATATACTTTTATTTGAAATTCCGTAAAATATGATTAGCTTTTTGCTTGGCTTTGTGCACTTCGCCTACATTGTGGGCTATGACCTGATCCTTTGATTCGATTCCCATTGAGCAAAAGTCTGCTCCCACCTTTGGGGAATTCCAATGGCTGAAGGATATTGTTCTACATTTTTTATCAACACATATATCAATAACGATAACAGGTATCGAGATAATGATAAGAATGAAAATATTAGGTTTAAAATCGATCAGTAAAAGTAAATAATATCAACAAACTTGTGGTATAAGATAATATTGTCAATCTATCGTGACAAAATATAATAGATATTGCTATTTATTTATTACAAACTCAAATGACAAATAAATCTATCTATACATGTAATAAAATTATAAATGGGTCGAATCTGAACATTAAATATTTTTTGGAAAATCTTATTAAATTGTCATTATTATCGATATAGAGGCCGAATATATAGTTTTTAGAATTTTTGTTTGTCTGACTTTTTGTCAGGGAACGCATCACAAGAAAATCACTGAAAAGATGTTGATGAAAATTAGTATGATGATAGCTGGTTATCCGGGTCAACATATAAGGCTACTTTTTACCGCGGGAAAATATCTCATTTCAGAGAAAAAATACAAAAACACAAAAACTACATTGTAAGAGTATACTAATATGTAAAACCTAAGAATTAGGTTTTTGGTCATCTGAACGCGGGAGGAGCAATGCTAGTCTATACTAAATGTTAAAACGTAACTGAGTGAGTTGTGAGTCGCTAGTATTTTATAAATGAAGTATTTCGTGTTATCTATGTATAATATATTTGCATATTTCATGGTTAACTTATGACCAAGGAATTGTCATAAATCATTAACAGTGGGTTCACACATTTACTGATACGGTTTTCCTATAGGATATCCAGTGACTTATGCAAACGTATGGTATTCACGCGCGGATATTTGATACGGTTTTTTACCGATTCGTTTATTCGGCTAACGATATATAAAAACCCATTCGTTAAACTCGATAAACCACATCATGTAAATGAAACAACTTATATATTCGGGCAACTTTTTTTTCTTTCTTTTTGTTTTAGTATATTATGTTTATCGAATCGATGAACCGATTTATAAAAACAAATTAATTTTTAAAAGTTTGCAGAATCGACAAACCGTATACGAAAACCAATTCGATAAAACCGTAAAAGCGTGAAGCCGCTCCCATACTTTTCTATTTTTATTTGTAAAATTATTTACTTTTAAATACGTAAACGATATAACGTAAATTTCGAATACTTACATAATACGATCCGATTGGTAAGAGCAGTGACACAGCAGAATTGACCGCTATGCATATAGTAATCAATATCATGCCACCAAATTTAGCTGCTAGCTCTCCACCGGGTACTTGTAAAATAATATATCCCCAGAAGAACGATGACAAAATCACACTCTGAATATTCATATTCCAATCGAAAGACTGAAACAAATGATAATTAATTAATAGGTTAAGATAGAAGAACAAACTCTTTTCAAATTTCATAGTTTTATTTTCATTATTACGAATTGCCAGGGTGGTCTAGTGGCTAGCATGTATCGCTGCAAATCCGGAGGTCCCAGTTTCGAGTTCCGTCACGGCAATTTTGGTTACTGAGTTTTCTGTTAATATATTATCAGTGGTAGCCCGGAGTTACAAAGTTGGCGGTATCGCACGCCGTTCCTCGGAGAGCAGGTAAAGCCGTCGGTCCTGTGCCTTAACCCTCACTAGTCGTGGCGAAGTGTCCTCTCATCGGATTTTCAGAGTAAAATTATTAGAGAGTGCACTTGTGTCGTGCCTGTACAGTTGTGCATTATAACATCTCTATACAGTTGGCTAGTCTCAATGAGATTGGCCGCTGTGGCCAAAATTGGTCAAGAGGATTGCACGTGAGGACGTTGCATCAAGACTTGCTTAAACTGAATGACTGACCCGAATTTATTCTTTTATACATGTTGTGGCTTCATCATGAGACTCAAGGGTACCAAATTATTACTCTAATACACTAGTTGCATATATTTGTAAAGATTAAACGGATAAGTATGACAATTTGGATGAACGAAAGCAAGTATTCCATCGCCGGATACTTTGCTGATGCAATTACGGGATTACTATCAGTTGATACTCACGCAGGATAAGAATTAAGAACATAATCATTGTTTTGATATATTATCGTAAATTATATTATTTCGCAAATTATTATTATATTCAAAAAGAGCAACTGTTGAGTTTCTCGCCAGCTCTTCTCAGCAGAACTGCCTTCCGAGCCGGTGGTGCATTCCTCACGGACTTACTTACTGACATTAAATTCAAATTTAAAATGTAAAATTGACGATTCAAAAGTGCTTGTAAAAGTCTATTTAAATATACCTAGTATATTTTTTGATTTAATTTGAATGCGGTCTGTCTAGGAACCGGAATCTCGCTAGTAGAATCTTCGTTCAGCGAGTGGATGGCAATGGAGAGATTGATTGACGACAATTTTAAGTAAATTATAAGTTAAAACAACGTATTAGATTTGCTTAAACATTAGTTGATTTTAAATTTTAAACTTGTTTAAGTTGAACATTTTGATCTACACAACTTTTTATGTAGATAGTTTTTCAAGACAATTGAGGTTGTTCTTTTCTACAGGATGATTTGATTGATAATATATATAATATTTTCCAGTTTGGATGGATGTTTCTTAATCATAACAGAACATTTTAAATAAAACTATCTTTTCGGATTTTGTCGCGGATTTATTTGGATTTTTGTTTCCCGACGTTTCGAATGCTTTACAGCATCCATGGTCACTCCCGTGACCGTGAAAGATAGTTTTATTTAAAATGTCAAATATTCGCGTAAATCTAAGAAAGTATTATCATAACAGAACAGCTAAACGGATCTGGATAGAATTTGTCACAAAGATAGATAATAGTTTGTAATAGTCCATAGATTAATATTTATCACAGAAAAATGTGTGGTTCCCGTGGGATAGATGTTTTTGTTTTAACTAGGGACAAACTGAGCGAAGTGAGGGTGAGTTGCTAGTGATAAGATAACATCTTACTATCTTTATCTGAAATCAATAACAACGTCTGTTCTACGTTTGTTTATCTAGATACAGTCTATATCAGTATAAAGTGGCAACTCAAGACTCTAGCACCTGTCACATGATATGCCATGGTTTGACGAAAGCAATCGATTGCGTCATGAATAGATAGCACCTATTTGAATTTTAATACTATATATCTAAAATTTAAATAAGAGGCAGATACATCTATTCAGCTTCAATTGGAAAAAGAGCTTACTTGGAGATTGAAAAAATATATTTAATATTTATATCCTTTGTGTGATTATTTAAGAAACAATAATTTTTGTTAAAAATAGAGAAATTTTCACCAAGATTTATATGAGAAAATTACCATGACATACGGACAGACTCACAGACAGACAGATGGACGTGACAAAATTACAAGGGTTTCGTTTTAGTCTCTTGGCTACGAACCTAAGAATTCATAGTTATTACAGATATTTTAGACTTGTGACTTTTATATACGAGTATATGCAGTATTTATTGTGCATACTTTTTACATATTTGTGTATAAGAACTCCTTTGATAGCCATTTTATATACATAAAATTAACTAGCATTGCCAAAACCAAATTCTTAGGTTTTAAATATTAGTATACTCTTACATTAGTTATAGTTTTTGTGTTTTTTCTCAGGAATGAGACATTTTCCCGTAGTAAAAAGTCCTCCATCCTATATGTTGACCCGGATAACCAGCTATCACCGTACCAAATTTCATCAAAATCCCTCCAGTGGTTTTTCCGTGATGCGGTAACAGACAGACAGACAGACTAAAATTCTAAAAACTATAGATTCGGCCTCTGTATCGATAATAACGTTTATTTCAATAAAATTTTCCAAAAAATATTCAATGTACAGATTCGGCTTAGTTACGATTTTATTATATGTATAGATTATATTGACAAATATGATAAAAAGAGACATTAAAAAACGTGAACGTAATCGTAATAAACATGGACTTTATTTTTATTCAAAATATAATACAATAATAATTCTAATTTACTGCAACGACCATAGTATATAATTACATAGCCTAAATTAAAATATATTGTAAATCTGTGAAAGTCAGGCCAAATTTAAGAATCGGTCAAGTGCGAGTCGAATTCGGATACGAAGGGTTCCGCACTTTTACTATAAATATGCATGTAGTATACTTGGATGATCGATTATGAACGTTAAAAAAATCTTGTATGTTTATTTTTTATATTTATTTATTTTTATTGTTTGTTGTTATTGTTTGTTGTTATAGCGACAATAGAAATACATACTCTGTGAAAATTTTAACTCTCTACCTATTACGGTTCATGACATACAGCCCCCTGACGGACGGACAGACAGCCGAGGTTTAGTAATAGGGTCCCATTGCAATCTTCGGGTACGGAACCATGCGAGTAAAGCCTCGGGGAAAAACTGTATAAAATATAAAACATATTGCAAAATTTTATTTTATTTGACCTAAAATCTCAAAATACTGCAAAAAACGTGAACAAAGCAAGAGACTGCAGCTAGTCTTGAATTATCTATACATATAATAAAATTCTAACTAAGTCGAATCTGTACATTAAATATTATTCATTCACGAGAAAACCACTGGACAGATTTTGATGAAATTTGGTATGATGATAGCTGGTTATCCGGGTCAACATAAAGGATACTTTTTACCGCGGGAAAATATCTCATTTCTGAGAAAAAATACAAAAACACAAAAACTGCATTGTAAGAGTATACTAATATGTAAAACCTAAGAATTTAGTTTTTGGTCATCTGAACGCGGGCGGAGCCGCGGGCAATGCTAGTATAAAAATAATGTGCGTTACGGATAATAATGACAGTAGATCAAGCGAAATAGGGTTAGAGCGTGAAGAAAATATGAAATTACTTGTTATCTGCACATATAATAACTTCTTACGATATATTATTATATATAAGTGAGGCAAGCAATACGTGACTTCGTCTTACATAAATGTACATTTACGATATAACCTGAGTACAATGATACAGATTATAAAATAACTAAAACGTGATGATTTATTAAATATTCTAATACTTTTTATTGCTTAACGCTGTTTTATTTGGCGTGTTTATAATTTTAATGTCTATTATTAAAAATGTGTATGTTTGTATGTGTGTATGTACTCGTACATAGTAGTTTTTCATGCTGAAACAATTGGTATGGTTTTGGATGTTTTGTACACAGTTAAAACTCGAGTAATAGGCTATTTAATATATAAAATGTTATTTTGTTCTTGAAGGAAATCGAAATATATAATAAAATTCTAACTGAGTCGAATCTGTACATTCAATATTTTTCTAAAAAATCTTATTGAAATAGTTATTATTGTCGATACAGAGGCCGAATCTATTGTTGTTAGAATTTTTGTCTATCTGGGAACGCATCACATGAAAACCATTGGACAGATTTTTATGAGGTATGATGATAACTGATTATCCGAGTCAATATATAGGATACTTTATAGTGCGGGAAAATATCTCATTTCTGAGACATCTATTCTAACCGTCAAAACGTACCCAGGGATGAACCCAAGCGAAGAGAGGTTGATTCGCTGTAAAATGTCACGTTTGACAATTTGACTTACACACCTTAAATACTTATAACAACATTAATTATCCCCTATCATGACACATTATTATTATGACTAAATGTTCATTCCATATAACATAAGGTGGATCGATGACTTGGGCAAAGTCGCTGAAACCCATTGGATGCGGATGACACAAGACCGGTTGTCGTGGAAATCTTTGGGGAGGCATATGTCCAGCAGTGGACGTGTTTGGACTGAGACGACGACGATTATGTATCGTAACGCCATCTTTTCAAATGAGGAATTTTAAAGTATTCCCAAAGCACCTAAAGTCTCTTTTAAACGTCTCAAATAATTTCAAAAATACTAATGAAATCTTGGGGCAAAGGCATATAGACAAATCATTTATTAACCATTTAACTTTACTTCATACTTGACCTTCCTTTCAAAACGGGTTGAGTAAAATTAAAATATTTTTACATCGCAGTAGCGATTCTCGCAGCCATCGCGTGCAAATATATTAAAATTTCGGCTTTGTAATATATGACATTTTTATCGCAGCACGATATCTACCCAAGAAGATACATCGATAAAAAAGAATAGACGGCTTTTTGGATGTTAATCTAAGATGAAGCTGGGTCTCCCCGATATGTGTATGTATACTTGTCGCTGTGGATGTGGATTTTAAGTGTTCGGCAATCCCGCCAAATATCAAGCCAAGAAAGACACTGGGAGGTGGCCCACCTTAGTAGGCGGTACACCATGCGGGTTGCTTCTGGTACTTCTCATAAGGTAGAGTGGACCTTGAGCAACCTTAATAAAAAATCACCCTCAATCAGTAGAATTAAGGGATGAATAGCGGGCTTACTCTAGAGGAAATCTACCTAAATGGGCTAGCCGTCAAGTGTTGTAGTTGAGTGCGTAAGTGATGCTGCATCACCCCCATAAAGAAAGGGTAAAAAAAAGGTTAAATCTTGATAATTAATAAACATATTTTTAGTCTGTAGGCAGTGAGGTAGAAGCATAGTAAGGTCGTATCGCATGTATGAATTTAGATTATCGAATTATTATAATTGCAGTATCACAGCTCAGCGCTATAAAATTCTGTCCATAAAAGTTGTTTGCGGTATTTGACATGGTTGTATAATGTTGTATATAATGGGGCTAAAATTAAGTGGTCGCACGTGTTGATTACATCGCTTATCAAGTAAGCTAGTGCTACTTCTATTGACTAATTTATGAACAATTTTGTGAAGTCTATAGAATAGTAGGATTGCTCGCGGCTCCGCTCGCGTTTAGATGACCAAAAACCAAATTCTTAAGTTTTACACAGTATACTCTTACATTGCAGTTTTTGTATTTTTTCTCAGAAATGAGATATTTTCCGGCAGCAAAAAGTATCTTATATGTTGACCCGGATAACCAGCTATCACCATACCAAATTTCATCAAAATCCCTCCAGTGGTTTTCCGTGATGCGGTAACAGACAGACAGACAAAAATTCTAAAAACTATAGATTCAGCCTATTGTCTATTTCAATAAGATTTTCCAAAAAATATTTAATGTACAGATTCTGCTTAGTTACAATTTTATTATATGTATAGATTTTCAATTCTCTTGTTAATGGCTTCAAAGCGTGCCAGTTGGGCACAGATTACTTCGCCAATGTCACGTAGAATTAAGAAGTCCTATTGCATATTTTTACTAAAAAAAAAAATTCAATTCAATTCTTAAGTTCAATGTCTTCTAAGAGTGACTAAAAATTAAATAGACGGAGTCCGCCAAAATTAATATCAAGGTCAAAAGTAGTGGCGTGATTTGCTATTTATTCTACTATTCTCGATTTACCCATACATATCGTTTGATTTTTATACAGAATAGAACTTTAAAAATGTATTGGTTAAATTAATATACTGCTTTATTTTATTATAAAGATAATACTATATTCTTTCGTATTTTTAAGCATTAGTTTTCTTTACTTGAAAGAGAGATAGCATAATTGGCTTACTTATTTTTTTCTTTATTATAATTACATCCGTTAGGTATTTTTATTTACTAATCCCTCTACGACAGCGGACACGCCGGCGTGTCAGTTAATAATTGATTTCCTAGAAATTTAATTAATTTCTTAGAAATTTACCTGGAGGTGTTAACTTTCATTTACTTTTCACATAGTAAACAAATTCTCATTTGTATACTATTTTAAAACATTATTGTTTAGCTTCATGTTTAGTTCTATGACACTCTGTCTGTATCATTACTTAGTCTGAGTTCAAAAAGTACTCTATTATATTTTTATTTACATAGCTTAAAATAATTCTGTAATTTTAAACTGATCAGATATATTAATCTCTGGCAATTTGAAACCACAGAATTAATTGTATAGTGCTTATACAGCTTTATTTGCATTAAATACAAATAATTGTTCTAAAAAATAAGAATGCATGATATTTATATTTATAATAAATTTGTTGGGACATTAATACACAGCACCATCTAGTTCCATGGTAAGCTGTTTGTGCTGGCTTGTGTTATGGATACCAGATAGTTGATACACTACACATATGTATATAAGTTTAAATACATACATGTTAAAAATATATACACTCTTTACTGGAGTACAAACATTCGTGCTCATCACACAAATTTATTTCCCCAGCGGGACTCGAACCCGCGACCGCTGGCACAGCAAGGAGGGTCACTACAAACTGAGCCAAACGTGTCGTCTACAACTGCATTATAGTAAAAGTGACAGAGGTCTAAAGTCAAAACAACATTATTTAAAACTTTTTAGGAATTGCACTTATAGAGGCTAATTTTAATATTTATCCTAACATAACTAACATTATTTTAACTCATTCAAATTTTAAACAATTTTATTTTTAAATTTCCATATCTGCGATCATTCTTGTTTGTTACTATAAGCAAATTTGTTGCATGTAGGTCATCGAGGAGGCTTCCCAGCAGAAGCGGTCACTCATTTGGGAATCTATTACCTAAATCTTATACATATATCATGGCGTTTAAAGCGTTTGTGGTAGGTCATGTTAGTCAGCTGGTTAGCCAGTTCATTTAACTAACTTAGCACTATAATTTGAGCAAAGAAAATCTTAGATCCCAGTCAATTTATAATTCCTAGGTCATACTTACATTTTCTAGTGTTTTATCTGTCATAGCTACTATCGCCATACTCATGTTCACTCGCATGGCGAATGCGAGTACCAATCCAAAGAATAGCAACACGACTTGAAGATGCCTGACGCCAAGAAGCGATGCTGCAAAATAAAAATTTCATACATTAACAAACTACACTCTAGCTTACTCCAAATCTATCTGTGCATCAAATTTCATCCAAACCAGTACAACCATTTTTTATGGCTGAAACAGTAAATAGAAAAAAATATATACAGAAATTTTTCAATATGAAGTAGTGACTTTCGCACTTATAATAACAGTCGTACATACATACAGTCGTAGCAAACATATGTATGTATAGAAAAAATATTTCAAAGTATTCTTTAATCATGTGACTTAAAATAGTATGCCTAACTATAATAAAATTACGAAACCTCGTCATTTTTCAATTAAAATGTCATCAATATTTCCCAACTTATTACTTTAATTAAAATCGATCTTCGATCAATATATAATTATGTATAGTCTATGTTATGAGTCTTAACAAAAGTGCACTTTATAATAGACAGAACGTATGCAGGATGGCTTTACGTTCTATCCGGCAGTACATATTCAGTACCAAATCCTCATCTCCGGACCACTGCTTCGTTACCATGGTGATAACCATAATAATCTAAATCTACACTAATATTATAAAGAGGAAAGATTTGTTTGTTTGTACCGAATAGGCTCCGAAACTACTGAACTGATTTAAATGAAATTTTCTGAGAAGATAGCTTGAGAAGGATAAAGGGTTGTTTTCATCCCGGAAATCATCTATTAAGGGAGTGAAAATCAGGATAGAGGAGGAAAAAAGAAACCAAAAAAAACCCAAAAAAAAACCTTCAATTTGATCAATTCTTTGCAACCCAATAACTTGACAACTAAACCTCAAATAAAAAAAATGTGTACATTTTCATAACTCCAGAGGTACAAATATGCGTAATATGAACAAATTTTAGAACCTCACTTTTTTTCGTTGTCCGATTCGCGTGCTAATGCCCCAAGAGCCTAATGTGTGCTAGCTATTTTAATATTATATTAACTTGATCAGGAATCGAACCCAACACTATTTATTACCACAATACCATGCAAAAAAATATATCGAAATGAATTTCAAAGCATATCCGAGTTATGAACGCTAATTACGAGTTTTCTCATTTGAGTCAATTAATACCACAATAAATTATACACATAATTTATTTTACTTCATCCGGTAGCTTGCAAGATATTATGTTATAATTGCTTTCTAAGTTACGTATCTATTATGTAGGTAAACTTGCGATTTTGATCGCAGATTTTATTTTCTCAGCCTAAAACACTAAGTATGGTAGGATGATGACTGTGGAGCAACCCATGGTTGTTGTGGTCTGCTTCGGCAGATCTGCCATCGGGGTGTCGTAGTTCAGTACGTAAGCGATCCAGCAATACCCCATTGAGATGGTAGAAGTTCCGTTGGGTTTTAGTGGGTATTACTGACTTTGCCGGTGAGTCCCACACCTCGTGACATTAAGAAAAAAAGGCACATCAATTATTAGGTCCCCCCAATGACCTTGTCGTGGTGGGGGCATTTAGCATCCGGCAATCCAGTCAGGCTTGAAGCCAAGAGACACACTGAGAGGCAGCCCAAATCGGTGAGCGGTGTGGAATGCGGGTTGCTCCCCGTACTTCTCTTGCAGTTGGTAGTTTGGCAGTGGTTGCTTGGTACATCATTAGGTTCATTTACATATAATAAATACAGGCACCGCCACCTTTTGACAAATTTGATTACTAACAATAGCATTGTTACTTCAGGTCATAATTTATCTGTGCACTAAAACTGTGCACTAAAAAATGTCATTTAATGTCCAGTCATTAAGCATGAAGGAGTAACAAACATACACATGCACACAAATACATACAGTTAAACTTTCATATTATAACAGTACTGTGATTATGAGAAGTAGATAGCTAATGTCCCCAATACCAAACATACTGAGACTAGCTATCTGCGCAGCAGATATTATAGTGCAGCGCGTGTGCGCGCAAGCACAAGTGTTCTCTCTAGTCCTGTCACTCTCATACTCCGATGGGACGACATTCGACACGACCGTGAGAGATCACCACACCAATGAGAACACGTAAAATTACTGAGTATTTCTTGGTAGAGAAACCCTATAACTACATTTCGCCCGACCCAGGACTTGAACCCAAGAGCTTCGGACTTGCAACCGTACATGCTAGCTATTATGATGTTACCGAGGCAGTAAGAGTAGATCAACTACATCAAACTATATTATTGAAACAACTTTAGCGATTAAAATGAAATTAAGCTATTCTTAAATTAGACTATTATTATATGCGTAATAAAAAAAGTTTAAACGAAACCAAAAATTTTTAATACAGTAAAAAAATCTAAAAACTTGGACGAGAATTTTCATATTTTGCAAAAACAATAAATTTAAGCCACGGGCAATCTACACTAACGACTCTGCTAAATCAATTTAGATAAAATTTGATATGAAGATAGTTTAAGACCTTGGGAAGGATATAAGACAGTTTACATCCCGGAAAGCATCCCTTAAGGGAGTGAAAAGGGGATGAAAGTTTGTATGGGGAACTAATTATTTCTCGATCAATGGACATAAAAGTCATCCTACCTTTGTATATATATATACTAATATATAGTCCATCTATTCCCTGGCAACCGTTAAAGTGTACCTAGGGACGAACCCAAGCAAAGCGAGAGTGAGTCGCTAGTTTGCAACTTGTTTTTAATTGTTTGTGTTGTTTATACGAGTACCGATGCGTTAAGATAAATATCTGACACGTACGTAAAATAACATAAGTATCTACTTACGAGTATATATGAAATTGAAGTGCTTAGGCATGTGACTTCGATAAATGTACTTAATTTTGGATAAAGATGAGTGCTTTTACATATTATACTATATTCTAAATATTTACTTATAAAATTACCTTTTTATAAGTAAATAGAATAAATATTATATTTGAAAAAATATTAAATAGCAAAGAAATAGTTTATTTTTGACTTTCACGTCACGTAAATTTTTAAAGTAAAGTAAAAAAATTCAATTTTTTTTTATAAAAAATCATTCCAGTCGAAAGTTGCAAAGAATATTTATGCCTGGAAAAAGAAAGATCTGGTAAAGAAAAGGAAAAGCCCTGGAAAAAGGTTTTTTCCCCAAATATATGCTAAAATGATGACAAAACAAAAGAAGAGCGAATTGCTAGTATTTAAATAAAGGTATATAAATTCCATTCGCGTAAATCTAAAATATGTGGAAAATGCATTACTCATGCACTGGAATATATTTCATTTTACATAATATTATATTTTCTACTAGCGAATTATAAAAACATTGTATCAAGTATCATAATAAATAACACACTGTTTATAGAGACATGATTTATTGATGTAAAAATTGTTTTTAAAATGAATTTAAACAAACAGTTTGATATAATACTAAGTAGTTTTTAAACAATACAACAATCTTCATATAAATAGGCAAAGACAAAAAAGCTTAGTGCATTTATCTCCTATGCTTGTCAACTGTTTTTTTTGTTTAGGAGATAGTGTGATCATTAAAAAATATATGGCTGAATTTCAAACATTGGGCTGTGTATACTCGTATGTCAGTTCTATTATAATAATTATAACTGCCTCGTTGTGTAGTGGCTAGCATGTACAGCTGCACACCCCGAGGTCCTGGGTTCGAGTCCCGGGTTGGGCTAAGTTTAGTTATTGTGTTTTTCTGTATAGTAAGCCTCAGTAACCGCCCGGAGTTGGGAAGTTGGCGGTGTTTCACCAACGTGCCTCGGAGAGCACGTAAAGCCGTCGGTCCTGCGCCTTAACTCTCACTGGTCGTGTCGAGTGGTCGTCCCACCGGAGTATGAGAGTGACAGGAATAGAGAGTGCACGTTGTGTCTGCGCGTACACTTGTGTACTATAATATCTCCTGCGCAGTTGGCTAGTCTCAGTGAGATTGGCCGCCGTGGCCGGAATCGGTCAAGAGGACATCATCACTCGTATGTCACAGATTGGTCGATTCACTGATCAGACATTTTTAAAACCAAATGCAGCCTAATTTTTACTCCAGTCATAGCCTATCTGTAAACAAAATTTCATCCAAACCTATCCAGCTATTTGAGAATGAAGGAGTAACAAACATACATACATACTTTCGCATTTTAATAGTAAGTATGCCTTTTGTGCATTCTCTAACTAATTTTATTTCTTATATTATTCTCTTAAAACCTATACATTTAAATAAATTTAAAATACAACTTCAAAATAGCTAGTTCTTAATTACCTAATTATAAAAAAAAAGGTTTATTGAACTCCACACGCCACATCTAAGGTAATCAATCGATCAAAATATCTTATTTACTTCCTTTGATATTAATTTAGTGATTAAATCCCGTTCAAAATATGAACCACCTTGATCGCTTTGCATAGGTATAAAGTGAAATGTGCCGGCCTTTATTCTAGGTCATTTCATCTATACATATCATAATAATACATTTATAATAAAATTCTGAATCAAATCTGTACATTAAATATTTTTTGGAAAATCGTATTGAAATAAACATTACCCAGAGGCCGAATCTAAAGTTTTTAGAATTTTTGTCTGTCTGTCTGGGAACGCATCACGAGAAAACCACTGGATAGATTTTGATGAAGTTTAGTGTGATGATAGCTGTTCATCCGGGTCAAAAGAAAATATCTTATCTCTCATCATATTAAAATATATTTAGAATTTATTTTGACTATTTGGCTTAAAATAAATTTTTGTTGTTTCTTGTTTACGTCGTTTCGAATACATAACAGCAAATATAATCACGCTTTGCTTTAAAGTATTCTAAATAAAAAAAAAAACTGTAACTAAATCCGAAAAAATAGTTTCATTTTAAACTTAAAATATTCGCGTAAATTTAGTAAAGTGCATATCTTGTCTTTTCTTACAAATATTTTAACTACCTCATTGATCTAGTGGCATGCAGCAGCTACATATACGGAAGCCCTAGGTGTTAGGCCTGAGCCGGATCTAGTACTCTAATACAAACTTGAGTTAAGAATTTATAGTCAAAATATTATTTTTTTACTAAATATTTTGTTTTACTTTAATACTTTTGATATACGAGTAAGATTATAATTTTTAAATATAATCATACTGGTATAAATATTTTTTATTTTATTTTAACTAACTGTGGTTAACGGTGGTACAATAGCTAGCATGTACGGCTGTACATCCGGAGGTTCTACGTTCGAGTCCCGGGTGGGGCAAGTTTAGTTATTAAGTTATTGTGTCGAAAAGTTGGCAGTCACATCTGGAAGGTGTAAAGTTGGCGGAATGTAAGAGTGAAAGGAATAGTGTGAGCACTTGTATTTGCGCATATATTTGGTCACTATAACAATATTTGCGCATGTGCGCGTGTCTTGTTTCAGTACAATTGGTCGTCGTGGCCTAAATCGATCAGGATATAATTTTAATTAAATATTTTTTCATTCTTAATGCTTTATATTGTAATATTCAAAACTAATTTATCCTGTTGGATATTGAATCTGTAACCTCTGGCATAACAGCCTGTGACAAGTAAAGAAATTCTCCACTGTGCCTCTTCGTTCGTTTTATATTATGTTAATTAGCATACGATAATATAATATAATATATTTCAAGTAATGAATTGCAGTAAAATTGTAACGGGGTCAATATTATACCTACATCCATTACTTATTGACAAAAAAGGCACATTTACTTCAAAATAACTAAAAATAATTTATTTTATCCTGAAAGATAACATTGATATTAAGGTATACCTTAGATTGATTAAAAAACGAATGATCAAAATCTATACATATAATAAAATTCTAAATAAGCCGAATCTGTACATTAAATATTTTTTGGAAAATCTTATTGCAATAGACATTATTGTCGATACAGAAGCCGAATCTATAGTTTTTAGAATTTTTGTCTGTCTGTCCGTCTGTCTGTTACCGCATCACGGAAAAACCACTGGAGGGATTTTGATGAAATTCGGTTATCCGGGTCAACATATAGGATACTTTTTACCGCGGGAAATATCTCATTTCTGTGAAAAAATACAAAAACTGCAATGTAAGAGTATACTAATATGTAAGACTTGAGAATTTGGTTTTTTGGTCATCTGAACGCGGGCGGAGCCGCGGGTAATGCTAGTCGATTTATAAAACTTTAACACTAACCAAACAGTTCAGTACCTTTCTCTCCTTTATTTGTCAGTCTAATTTTTGTTTAGTGGCTATTTATGTGCTTTAGTGCTATTAATAAAACAAAGTAATACCGTTTAATTTTTTTAATGTTGATAAGTAAATTCTATTCATACCTATATGTTTTCCTCTGGCAAATTTTGACCACTAGACAAAATTTTTAAGTAGTAATTTAGTGTGTGTATTTTTGTTACCTTTTAATGTTGAAATAGATGGACAGATTTGGATTAAATTTAGTAGGTACACAGATAGACTATAACTTGAAGTAACACATATATTATAAGTAATAAAATTTGCAACAAAGTGGCGCTTCTTGTTTGTAGTGTTATCTATACTAATATTATAAACAGGTAAAGTTTGTGAATTGTGAGTTTGTGACGTTATGGGGGGTAATCTCTGGATCTGCTGAACCGATTTAGATAAAATTTGGTGTTATGATAGTTTGAACCTTGGGAAGAATATAGGATCCTTTTTATTCCGGAAATCATCCCTTAAAAGGGGTGAAAATGGGAATGAAAGTTTGTATGGGGAATCAATCTAGGGATAAACCCGAGCGAAGCTAGGGTGATTCGCTAGTTACTACAGATTATTAAATAAAAGATTACAGAAGGCTTCTAAGCGCATACTCGAGTGGAGCAAAGATAATTCGATAGTTATGTAAAAATAAACGCTTTTGATACAACTTTCACTAAGAGTTAGGTTCGTTTATCTATATGATTTTTACTATTTGACACACCATTAAGAGGAGAAGGTGAAGTTGGGTTTTAGGGGGTAGTACTGGTTTTTCTAGTAAATAATTCCCAAATACCTGTATGTATGCAGGAGGCATGCGTAAATGCATAAATAAATAAATATAAATATGTTGGGACATTAACATACAGCACCATCTAGTTCCATGGTAAGCACAAAGCTTGTGTTATGGATACCAGATGGTTGATATATAACTTTAAATATATACACATTTTAAATACAAACACCCATGACTAGACATATCAGTACAAACATCGTGCTCATCACACAAATGAATGCCCCCAGCGGGACTCGAACCCGCGATCGCTGGCACACCAAGTAGAGTCACTATAATCTGAGCCAAACGTATCGTCACATATATGCCAAAGTTAAAATAAGGAGTTAGGTTAGATTATAGATCATGGGCTAAAATTTATTTTCAACCATAAAAATAATTATTTAATGATTCAACAATAATTATATAATAATTTGAATCATAAATTTGTTTTGCATAGTCTTAGACTAACTTGTAGGTGGCCTTGTTGTTACTGCAATAGATGATAACATCGAAGTCTACCTTGTACTCCATTATTTTTTTTTATTCTCTGATAATACACACGCTCTATATATCATAAGTATCGGAATACTAATGTATTCATGCGCATTTGAATAGATATTTTTTATCAAGACTGTTATTCTATCTATCTATTCAGCACTTTTTAACGTCCCACTGCTGGGCACGGCCCTCCCTTCAATACGAGGTGGATCCTTATCCATATTTCACCACGCTGGCCGAATGCGGATTGGCAGATTCCACATGTCTTTCGAAAACTTGTTCGGCTATCTCAGACATGCCATGACATGGTTTCCTTACGATGTTTTCTTTCACCGTAAGGCAAGTGGTAATCATGTTAGAAATGATTCGCACATGAAAATATCAGAGGTGCGAGACCCGGGATTTGAACCCGCTTCACTGTATTGGACGTAGTTATGCAAAATGGATCCAGCCCACCAAAACCGATTTTTTAATTACTGTCGTAAATGTCAATGGAGTTTATTTCGACTACTAAAACTTGCCACCGGACACTTTTTTTCAAATAGCTCCTCAATTAACTAAGATATAGAGTTAATATCTACTGGGTCATTTACTGTTAGTGTCCTCTACAATATAATATTGGTTACCATATAGGTTCCTATGAGGGGCAGTTTTGCCATGGAAATACGGCTAGACCCTTTCACATAATATGTATGAAGCTTAAGTCAATTTTCTATATCTGGTAAGGAAAACTTCAGATATTTGTCGATAGTTTATTGGGAACCACCGTTAGTAAGCAATTTGTCATTCTTATTTATATAATAGCATAAAATCCTAATAACACAAAAACTACTAATTAGACTGTGCATAATCTATACTAATATTATAAAGAGGTAAAGTTTGTGAGATTGTGAGTTTGTGACGTTGTAGGGGGTAACCTCTGGATCTACTAAACCGATTTAGATGAAATTTGGTAATGAGATAGTTTGAGAGCCTGGGAAGTACATAAGACTTTTTATCCCGGAAATCATCCCTTAAGGTGGTGAAAATGGGGATGAAATTTTGTATTGGGAATCAACATATATAATAAGGGATGAACCTGAGCGAAGCGAGGGTGAATCACTAGTTAAAATATATAAATATACTTAATATTTATGTCATAAATAATAACGAGGTGGTTTCATGTAACAGCCTAAAATTTATATGGGATATTATATTATGATGTAATTTGCTATATTAAGTGAACTCTCCAGACCTGTTTTGAGAACATTTTCTCGTATTTTTAAAATGTACCCATTCTCAATTTATCATTTAAGTAAACTATGTCATGAACATGTAGAACATATTGATTGCGAAAAAATTTTAGTTTTATATAATGCAACAATATGCAATATTCAAAATTTATTTTTAAAATTAAAATATCTGTATATGGTGTCAAAATTATTTTTGTACAGTATATTACTTTGGTTGTTATCTTTAAAATACCAAAACCGCAGGTAGCCAGTAACAATATATGTCTATACGTCACGGCTGGTCGTAAATTAAATAGTTTTTTTTTTTAAATTTTCCAAAAAGGGCTTGAGTGTTCAGCAAGAAGTTGATATACGTAGGTAGGCTACCTACTTTTTGTTTTAAGAAAATATAGAGTTCCTGCGACTAAATTGACAGTCTGTGTATATTATGCTAATGTTCATAAAATTTTGTAAGATTTAAACAAAAGTGGCTTAAAACTTGCGAAACCACGGGGCATAGCTAGTCTGAAATAAATAATACAGTATATGAGTTCTAATCTACAAGCTTTAAAATAATCGAATTAGTCTATATGAGTTTCAAAGAAACCTTATACATGGGTATATAGTTTTATACTATATCTGAATCATAATAAAATTTAATGTAAAAATCGAACCCGTAATCACTTTAGTAAAGTATGATCCCACTGTGTGTTTATGATTTTTGTACATTAATATTTATTATAAAATAACATGTTTTTGTTAAGCATTGTATGTAAAAAAGTAATTTTAATTCACTACAATAATAATTATAGAGATAAAATCTTCTAAGAAACAAGATATTTTATAATGATTCAATTAAATGAGCTTAGAAGTCGAGAATTTCGCTAATAAGCTAAATTTTTAGGTATTAAAGAATTATTCTTGAATATTTCTACGAAAACCTTTACAGAAATTAAGAACTAGATATATTAGAACTAAAATATATAATTCGTGAAAACTAAAGTACATATAGTAGGTATAAATTAATGAAAAAGGTATGTAAAAATATATAAATAAAAAATATTTTTATATTTTTATTTTAAAATTAACACCTTCAGGTAAATTTCTAAGAAATCTTTTGTTAACTGTAACGCCGGCGTGTCCGCGGTCGTGGAGCATTAAAAACTAATTAATCTTTCAAATTACCTTTTAATAAACAAAAAAAACTTACTTGGCTTCTTTACAGATGTGTCTTCTACCATTTTCGTTTATTTAATCTTTCACAATCAAAAACAACTAAACTAATTTATTTTAACAATACTCTTATGAGTTTAACTATTTTTAAATTAATTAATGAATTTAACGATCGTAAAACATCGATCTTAAATTATTGTACTGCGCGTGCGCACTCTTTTACACCTTCTTGGTCACTATAGTATTGTGATAGTTTTTTTCTTATTATGCTTTGTTTCCATTGTTCCAGTGAACACGTTATACGTTTTTATATTATATTAATCATAAATTAAAATGAAATATTGCAAAGAGCTACTATGATTGTTTAAGCGTTTGTATATAGCGTATAGGATATGTATTTCGCAACTTCATATGAAATATTTATTAGCTCTATTTTTAAGCAAAGCTTTCTTTACTATACACATATATATACATATATATATATATATATATATATATATATACATATATATATATATATATATATATATATATATATATATTATATATATATATATATGTATAAAATACCGTACTTGAAGGTCACTTAATATAGCTTTATAGTTAAGTCCACCCTATCTTTTCACTTGTCTATCTATTCTACCTTTAAAGGGCTATCTTTTAAACCATTATAGATAATAATCGATAGATTTTTTTATAATATAAGGGGAGTTGGGTTGAAAGGTATTAAGTAATAATAGAATTAAAACCATTATAGATAATAATCGATCGATTTTTTTATAATTTTAGGGGGGGTTGGGTTGAAAGGTATTAAATAATAATAGAATTAAAAATAATATTATATAGATAATAATAATAGAAAAAAAAATATAATAATCATAAGAAAATAAATGAGCATTTCATAGTGGCACACCAGCCATTGTACTCAAACTTTTTTTAAAAAAAACTGGCCAATTATAAGTTACACTTGTACGCGGGATCTTTAGAATCCTGACTTGAATAATTGTTTGTATCTGATTTGTACTTTCTATCCCATTACATGTAGCGGGTTTGACTCCGATGCAGAGCGAAAAATATAGGCGGTAGAAATGATTTAATCCCAATTTTGGTGACACAAAAGCATTGAGAATAGAGTATATACATAATATTATTGTTTTAGATTTTGTTTTTATATATAATATTTTTAATTTTAAGGTTTTTTAATGGGTTTCCCGGAATTTGAAGAAAAGCTTCCTGTCCTTTCCTGATAAAAAAAGAGTGGAAGTTCTACAATTATAACAATTATTACAACAAATGTTATTTTTTTTATATTTACATTACTAGTAAATAATATGAATAACTTCAACGACTTCTTACACATTTTGTATAATGGAAACTTGCAATGACGTTGACATTGATTCGAGTTCTGACCAATAGTTATCGACGCAAATCGTAAATGACAAAACTATGTTAAATTTACCTCATAGCGTGATAAACTAGTTTTGTGATGGAGAAAAAATATTTTACTTATTATATTATAGGCGGCTAGACTTACCGTCGCTTCGCTTAGGTGCGTTCCTAGGTACGTGTGGATTTTGTCCACAATTTCATTTGTTCCAATTTTTTGCGCGGAACTCTCTTTTTATAAAATAAAAGTAGCCTGAGTCACTCCTTATAACGTCAGCTATCTGTCAGTAAAGGCCCCGTCAAAATTGGTCCAGCTGTTTCGGAGATGGGCCGGAACAAACAGATAGACAAAAGTTTTAAATTTTGTTTTCTTTTCTTATTAGTATCGTATATACTTTCATATGCATTTAGTAAAAAGCTGTTATGTTGACTTTACATACAGACACTTCAATTTTATTTATCTATAGGTATAGAAAAAATTCGAAGGTTTACTGCGAAAATCTGCTAAACTTCATTTTTGGCAAAAATGAGTTAAATAAATGAAAATTCTTATCTTTTCGAACTCTGTACTGGTAAAACCGGCTAAGTGCTACGTTAAATACTTTAGAAGATATAACAAAGAAACAGTTATATACAACAAATCGTTCAATACTCGATTTCTAAAATATCATAAACGACGTTGCTAATAATTTAACTAATAAATGTTACATGTAAAAAAATAAGGATTCATAACCTGTTTTTCTTTGTTAAGAGGTGAAATTTTTTTCTTTAACAACTTCAATACAGAATATATAAAATCTAAACGAACTTATTCGATCTCGTATTTAGCAGAAGAGCTCTATATATTTCGCTATTATAATTATACAGCAAAAATCTGATAAATAACTGTAATCAAAAAATTTAAAAACGGGCAACGAGATTGTTGACAAATTACCTGAACCAGCAGTTGATGAAGTTGAAAATGGTGAAGATGAATAGTAAAGATAATTATTATTAAAAGTGATTGTGCATTTTCTCTTTCTACTTTTTATTAACACCTCCAGGTTTTTTAAGAAATTAATTAAATTTCTAAGAAATCTATTGTTAACTGTAACGCCGGCGTGTCCGCGGTCGTGGAGGGATTAATATTTCTTGAAAGCCAATAAATATTTACAGGTAAAACCAGCTAGCTTTTTTCTTTGTCAATTGTCATAAGTTCCCTAGTTTTTTTAATTAAATAGGGTAAAAATAAATTAAATAGGGATATTTTAATAGAGAAACTATTCGATCTAAGGAAGATGATTAAAAATCAAACTATAAGATCGTGTTTGAAGCTGACATACTCATACATTAACTTCACTATTAAGACTTTTTATCACCTGTTGTTTTCCTTATCTCTTTAGATTAAACGAGTTTCCTGAGATACATATTACGATTTAAATATATTTTTTAACCAAGCTCATATAAATACTTATATATTATATTATAGTAACTTTTGCAGAGAGATAGATAGAGAGAGAGGGAGAGAGAGAGATACCCCTATACCACTTTTCTAATATTGGGAAATGCATTTACGCACGAGGTGTGGGACTCACCGACAAAGGCAGTACTACCCACTAAAACCCAACGGAACACCTGCTGTTTTAATGGGCCGTCGCAGGATCACTTACGAGCTCAACCACGACGCTCCGACGGCAGGTCTACCGAAGCAGACCACAACAACCACGGTGTTGCTCCAAGATCCACTCTGCTATCAGAGGAGTACCAAGAGCAGTATACTCTCATCTATACCTATAGTATCATACTAAAGATGTTAGTGTAGGCGAGTCTAAGTGAAGTCAGGGTGGGTCGCTACCATATAATATTTAATTGTTTTAAAAAATATACATATAACTGCCTTTTCGTCCGTCGTTCTGTTCGTCAGACGTAATCTTATTAAATGCAAATAATTTGGATAAATTAAAAAAAAGATGACTGGTCGTTCCAGAGGTTACACAATACACATTTAAACAAATTAAGTAAAATCTTCTTAGCTTTATAATATTCATTTAGATTAGGTGTGTATTCCAGATAAAAGTTAACTATACGATGACTAAAATTAAATACAGTTAATTATCTGAAACTAGTTTAAAATTTTAATAAGGTTATAGCATTAACAATACTTGCCAAATTCATTCAGGTTTTGTAACAAAGTTAATAATATTTCATATTATGATCTACATTAAATGAGACGTGTTTTATTACATCAGGGTATTTATTATGAATGCGAAATTTTTTATGTTTATGTGTGTACTTATAACTCCTTTACGTTTAAAAAGGTGGACTGATTTAGAAGAAATATATGTAATGTATACAGATATACTATTACCTGGAGTAACACATAGACTGCTACATGCACATTCTGTATATTTTTTACTGCACAAACAATATAATAAAATGTAATATTAAAAAAATACACACCAAGTGACGCGGACTAAGGTGGAGTTATCTCTATAGGAGATCTCTTCCAGTCAACCCATGTATGTGGAAAATATATTATAATTTATAGCTTTTAGTAGTCAAGTTCTTTTACTAGCAAGGTGATTATTTAAATTGGCATTATGTTTTTTTATTTTTGAACCGATTCATAAAACTAATACTAGATGTAAAGTGAAGCTTACTACAATATATTAGTGAAAACCGCATCCAAATTGGTTAAGTCGTTTTTGAAATAAGCGCGCACAAACGCACAGATTAACATTTAGCTTCCATTCCATTAATAACAGGTTTTCTCAAATGTCTTCCATGTATTATATACACTTTTATTATATGTATAGATATTTGAAAAGCAATTTCCATCATGTATGTTATTTATTCAATTTTGAGTAGATCAAAGTTGGTTTAAACTGTCGTTAGGTAGTTTTAAACCGGAATAGGCGCAGATGCGACAGGAAGCTCAAAGGAATATCATCAAATATAGATCTATCCTTACTTCGTGAAACAGTTATGCATATGTAAGGTTTGACCAAACTTAAATTTAAACTGAACTTAAACTTTATTGAAATAACAAGGGGACTGATCCCCCAAACTATTTTTTTGGAAATTTAAGCAATGTAAATACAGAAAATGTCGGACATTCATTCTTCTAACATGACTTTAGGTTAGATTTAGTATACGTTTCTTTGATATATTTTCCCGCATTAAAACCCATCCCACCCATCTACCAACATACCAAATTTCATCAAGGTCTGTCCAGTGGTTTTCTCGGCCTCTCCAGGCGACAATATTTTGAGATATTAATATCTAATAGGCAAATATGATTAGGTATGAACTCTAATCTATACATATAATAAAATTCTAACCGAGTCGAATCTGCACATTAAAATTTTTTTGGAAAATCTTATTGAAATAGTCATTGATACGGAGGCCGAATCTATAATTATTAGAATTTTTGTCTGTCTGTTACCGCATCACGAGAAAACCACTGAACAAATGTTGATGAAATTTGGTACGATGATAGCTGGTGATCTGGGTCAACATATAGCATACTTCGTACCGCGAAAAAATACCTCATTTCTGAGAAAAAATACAAAAACTGCAATGTAAGAGTATACTAATATGTAAAACCTAAGAATTAGTTTTTTGGTCATCTGAACGCCGGCGGAGCCGCGAGCAGTGCTAGTATAGTTAAAATATTATAGGTACATCAATTTGTCATCTATTT